CCGGGCCTAGAGTTACAAGTGAGAAGTTGTCTACAGGAAGTCGAGGGATGTAGTTAGAGGGTGGCTCAGGTGCAGGTTCGGGGGCATAACTTTGTTACTGGGTGGCAACGGGAAACACTGCTGAGTGTAAAGCAGACTGGCCAGGTTTTACTCTAATTCTCCGCAATTTAATTAATCATATTAAAGCCTGGCCGGTGTGGTTCAGTGGTTGAGCATTAACCTATGAACCAGGAGGTCACGGTTCGATTCCTGGTCAGGGCACATGCCGGGCTCGATCCCCAGTGGGGGACATGCAGGAGGCAGCCAATCTATGATTCTCTCTCATCGTTGGTGTTTCTATCTCTCTCGCCTTTCCTCTCTGAAATCAATAAAAATATATTTTAAAAATGATCATATTAAAGACTGGGATTTTAAACCATCTCAGCAAATGCTCCTTCTCTAGGAAATGCAGGCTTGCCCAGGCCGGAGCAGTCTGCTTACAGCTGATGGAGAGGGAGGGGCGGGAGGGGCGGGGCAGGTGGCCACCCGCTGCCCGAGAGCCCTTTTATGCAAAGAGGCTACTCTCCACCCCCCCCACCCCCGTCCAGATACACCCCTGGCCTAATGTGCATCTCTTGATGTTGCAGCTTAGGTGCCAGCACTGCCCTGGGAGGAGAAAAGATAAGCATTTCCGGTTAAAACTAGTTAATCACTGTCCCATAAAAAAACAACACGGAGAATTTTCAAATTCTGTCCAACTGTTGTTATTTCAGTAGCACTGTTGGTAGTATAGGTCAGGTATATTCTGGATTGAATAACTCTTTGGGAGCAATTCCAAGTGTTTTCCAAATTTTATATTCAATTGGTCAGCAGATTTTCAGGAGCTGGGGGTTGTGCATCCATAGAATGCCATTCCTATTGAATGTTTTATATGAAGAGCCAAGTTCAGTTTACAGTGAGTCACACCTGCAGTCCTGCCCATGGGCATTTTATTACCCAAATAAGGGAGGACTTCCTTATAAGGTACATGTCACCAGAGGCAGTATGACGTCAGGGCCCCAAGAATAGCTTGACTTATTATTATGGAGTATTTTTATGGATAAATCATGTGACATGGAGGTATTTGGTTTAAAAATGTATGTCTTTCATCAATTTTTTTCTAGAAATTAAAATATCATTTTAAACAGTCTCTGTATGTGATCTATTTTTCTCTTTGTGGCATTTGCCAAAAAGATAGGTAAATGTCACTTGAAAGCTCTTCTGTGCACTATAGAAATTTTCCTTTGGGAGTTCTTATTTAAAGTATAGGCTTCGGAATCTTACAATTTTAATTTGATAGGGAATTGAATCAGCTTGGTTTTGTGAAGGAGTTGTTGGTCCCACTGCCACAAAAATAAAATTGAGCCCTGGCTGGCGTCGCTCAGTGGTTTGAGTGTCAGCCCGCACACCAGAGGGTCACAGGTTCGATTCCCGTCAAGGGCACGTACCTGAGTTGCAGGTCCAATCCCCACCCCAGTCGGGTTGGGTGTGAGAGGCAACCAGTCAGTGTGTCTCTGTCACATCAATGTTTCTCTCTCCCTCCCTCCCACCCTACTCCCTTCCACTCTTTCTAGAAATCAATGGAAAAAATATCCTCAGTCCTCAGGTGAGGATTAAAATAAGAAGAAGATTAAATTGAAATCACAGAGCAAGAGGTGTGGCCGACTTACTCCATCTTCCCCAGCAGGATTGTTCCATTTGCGATAAACCCTGGACAGAACTGGTTTGGCCCTTGAGGCCCATGTCCTGGAGTTTGGGGCTCGTCTGGAAAGGGGAGCCGCACGCCTTCCTCTAAGCCAGTGGTTCTCAACCTTCTGGCCCTTTAAATACAGATCCTCATGTTGTGACCCAACCATAAAATTATTTTCGTTGCTACTTCATAACTGTCATGTTGCTACTGTTATGAATCTAATGTAAATATCTGATATGCAGGATGGTCTTAGGTGACCTCTGTGAAAGGGTCGTTCGACCGCCAAAGGGGTCGCAACCCACAGGTTGGGAACCGCTGCTCTAAGCTATTCCAAGGGTTGTGGCTTTTTCAGAAAAATGACAACTTTGTCATCAAAGGCTTTTAAAATGTATTAGTTATTATTTGCTTTAGTCTCTCTTCCTAGTGGTGCAATTGGAGTCTTTTTCTTCATTTGTGGCGACTGACTTACGTTTTTTAAATGTTTACCAATTCCTTCAATCCTTTCATTGCTTAGGCTCTTCTTCGGTTCTTTTTCGTTGTTGTTGTCTTCTTACACTTCTTAACTTTTCTTTTCCAACCTTTTGATCTTGGAGTCTCCAATAGCAAGGTGGACAGAAGCCCCTCTCCGAGGCTGGCCCTGTTGCCAGGGTCCGGACACTTTGTCTTTTGAACATGGAGCTCTCACCCTGAGTGGTCAGTGGTGCTGACAGGGTGGGTCTCCACCTGAGGATGAGAAGGAAAAAGAACTGAATGACTGTCTTGTGCTAAAGGCTTTCCTGAGTTCTAGAGTGGCAGTTTTAAGCTGAAACACACACACACACACACACACACACACACGCGCGCGCACACACACACACTCTTGGACACAAATCTCACCCTGAGTGGTCAGTGGTGCTGACAGGGTGGGTCTCCACCTGAGGATGAGAAGGAAAAAGAACTGAATGACTGTCTTGTGCTAAAGGCTTTCCTGAGTTCTAGAGTGGCAGTTTTAAGCTGAAACACACACACACACACACACACACACACACACACACACACACTCTTCCAGGACACAAATCCTCATTGCTGTAGGATTTTTAAAGAAATGCTTAAACTCACAAAGTGCTCTGTGGAGCATTCATAATAGGAGGAAATTTGCATTCAGTATCTCTTTTGGTCCAGAGATGTTTTCTGAAATGACCTCATCCCTACACTTACAGATGCCTCGAGTTTCTGCTTCAAAATGACGCCAACCCATCTCTCCGGGACAAGGAAGGCTACAATAGCATCCACTACGCGGCTGCCTACGGCCACAGGCAGTGTCTGGAATTGGTGAGTCGCTTTGCCTTGTCTTGTTTTCTCTGACACACACACACACATGCACCCAGACCAGACAGTGCTGGTCTTAATGCCTCAGCAAAGGGCCTGACTACCTAGTTAGCTCCTCCTAGAAACCACCTTGAAGATGTTCTGTGGTAAGCGATTCAATTGTTTAACTGGATCATGTGAGATCTCTTTGTTCCTTTTCTGTCCATCCTAATCTTAGAAATGACTGACAATGAACTCTTTTCTACATTAACTTGGGCCGAGAATGTAAGACCTGTGTACGGACACAGTTTGTATTTTAACGATCATTTGGACGTATCAGCTAAGCTCAGTATATGTTTCTGGAGGCGCATGTAGCACCGCCATATTCAGGAGAATTGTTGTAAGATAATTTACATAATCATGAGGCATGTGGGCTTGTTAACAGTCCAATGTGTAGTCTAGGGAAAGAAATTGGCAAGGGTACAAAAAAATCAGAATGTACTGGAATTCCCAAACCACCAGAAATTTCAAACCTGTCGTGATCAAAGAACACTTTGGGGTTTGGAGTCTGAAATGCCTCTGCTGGTATAGGTCAAAAGAGACACAAACTCACATGCTCACAGGAACCAGAAATGTAAAGGAGTGAAGTAAGCCCAGGTGTGCAATAGGGAGTGGTGGGGATTGTGGCAGCTAGAGAGCACATGCTCTGTCTAAAGCAGTGGTTTTCAACCTTCTGGCCCTTTAATACAGTTCCTCATGTTGTGACCCAACCATAAAATTATTTTCGTTGCTACTTCATAACTGTAATGTTGCTACTGTGATGAATCGTCATATAAATATCTGATATGCAGGATGGTCTTAGGCGACCCCTGTGAAAGGGTCGTTTGACCACCAAAGGGATCGCGACCCACAGGTTGAGAACCGCTGGTCTAAAGGTGGAAACAGCGAGTCAGCCCCAGCTCACGGAGACCAGGTGGGAATGCATACCTGGGGTTGCCAGACTTCCAGCATCCCAAGAGGAGGTAGAACTCTAGACTTCGTATGTGAAATTGGCTGCTTAGAAAACCCTGGGTGGACTAGGAAGAAGAAATGTGGATTTGTGGCTGGATTCTCTCTGCTGGCCACCACTGGCCATCTCCAGAGCATCCCCCTCATTCAGCTTCACCAGGATACATGGGCCATCCAACCTCCCCATCTCTGGTCTAATGAGAGGTGTCACCTTTGGGGACTGGACTCCCAGCTCTTGTCCATGTTTCTTTAAAAGCAGAAGTCCCACTGTCAGAGCTGTTGAGAGGTGTCCGGTGTCCGGGGGAACCTTGCACAGTTGCACAGCGATTGAGAGAGGCAGGAGGCAGAAAGCCAGAGAGCAGCCGTGCCCGCGCCTGCGGGGAAGTGACTCAATGATGCCCCGCTTGTTCCTTTCCCTTTGGCTTTGCTGCCGGTTTCAAGCGGTTCCAATAGGGTCGTTCTTACTATTACACACCGTTATGCAGGTTCACAAAGGTCCCCCAGTTTGGAAAGAAGAGGGTGTTTATTCTAGTGGTCTTTTTGGTGTGGCATTTACTGGTGAAGGGTGCCTGCCTTCCTAATCCTTGACTACTTCCGAGCCTTCTTTCCCGTGGCTCTTGTGGATGCTAAAGATGTCCCCGTTTGACCTTGGGGGTGGCATTTCCCCTCTAGCTTTGATTCCATTCTAGTTCTTCCAGTTACGGTTGCTGCATAACAAATCATCCCCAAAGTTAGTGGCTTCACACAACAGTCATCATGTTTGAGCGGAGCCTGTTTCTGTCCATCAGGAACTCAGGCATGGCCTAGCTGAGTGGTTCTAGTAACGGTGTCCTATGAGATTAAGTCAGACAGTGGCTGCTTTCCATTGGTTTTCTCGATGAAAACCATGCCGTAATTGGACGTCGAAACTTTTATTACAAAGTTTGTTGTTGCAGTCTTAATAACTTGTGCTGGTGTGTGTGTGTGTGTGTGTGTGTGTGTGTGTGTGTGTGTGTTTTTAAAGAATAGTTTATTGATTTTTAGAGAGAGAAGGCAGGAGAGAGAAAGGGAAATACAGATGTGAGAGCGCTATTTCTGCACCACCACCACCTCCCCTACCCCCTGCAGGATCGAGCCTGCAGCCAGGGCAGGTGCCCTGACCGAGAATTGAACCAGTGACCTTTTGGTGCGCGGGAGGATGCCCAAACAACTGAGCCACGCCAGCCAGGGCAACTTGTGCTGTTTTAAAGAATGCTCCTGTAACACTTTCTCTCTATGTAAATAATATATTACACGTTATTTTTATCTGTCAGAAAACCAGCTCAGGGCCCTTATGTCTGTTAGCCAGTGACCAGGGTTTCTGTCCACCAGAGGCTTCACAAGTTCTGTTCGTGAATGAAAGTACCCCTCTGATTCGATGGCACTTGCTCTGTGTGATTCACAAAGAGATGACGATTCTTGGCCAGTACAAGACATTCAAACATCAGGTGTCAGGGGGACGAGGGTAGGGGTGAGAGGTGGGGTAGTAATTGATCTCAATTTGCACTGTCAGCTGAAAAGGACCCGATTAGCAACATAAATTGGTAGAAATGTCACCGTTGTTTGCTTTCGGAAAAGAAGCCCAATGGGTCATTTATAACAGGGATGGGAGAGAAATTCTCCCATTGTCCTGAATTATTATGGTTAAACAGAAAGTTCTGTGTATTTCCACTGAGAAATGCACCCTAAAATTCCTCTTGGGCAGTTCCAATAAGCAAGGATCCTGAGCAGGCTGTAAGCATCCTTGCACCCTGCACCCTCCTGTTCAAAACAAAACAACCCTGGGCTCCCCCCTGGGTATGGCCTCGGAGAGCCCGACCACCGACCACCGTGGGTGTCTGCTCCCACCACTGGCCCATCAATGGTGGGGATTTGGGGAAGGGTGGGACCAGCACCAATGGCATTTGTTGTGTGTTCATCACATGCCAGGAATTTTGCATACATTATGCCATTTAATTGTTTTTCCGTTTTCTTGAAGAATACTTGATATATAGCCCTGTATCCATTTAAGAGATAGCCTAATGACTTGACTTACATATATTGTGAAATGATTAACAGTAAGTTGAGTTAGCATTCATTACCTTCTATAGATTCTTTTCCCTAGTGAGAAGAAGAAGGCTGTTCTTGAAGCAAGAAGTGGGTTTTTTGAGGGGCACCTTTTCTAGTTTCTCTCTCTCTCTCTCTCTCTCTCTCTCTCTCTCTCTCTCTCTCTCAGACCACAATGCCCTCATATTCCTTAAAACTCCCATTTCTTTGGGTCCCAGACATTAGGGAAGCAACCAATACGCCCGTGTGCACTAGAAGGTACGTTTCTGAGACTCATCGCTGCCATGCCGGTCTTCTCCCTCATCTCAGCACACAAACACCCCAATCCTCCCAGGGCTCATACGTCTAACAATTTGGTTCTGACTCTGCGCTGGGGGCCAGAATAATGCCAGTGAAAGGCATGTTTGTGGTGCTCTAAGGAGCTCAGCTGAGCCTCTGAGCAGGAATTATGCCGGGAGACCTTCTGTATGTTGTGTTCCCTCACCCATGGCTCTGGCCTCCGGAAGGGACACAGAGGAGGAATGAATGTTGCGGCCTCTGGGCGTCTCTGGCCAGGCCAGGCCTCTGTGCTGCGGCCGGTGGATAGGACTGAACAGGGTGCTGGCCATCAGAGCAGCTGATTTGCGAGGTTGGTACAGTGTGTCTTCTGCCGCTCTTCCCACTTAGCGGAGCAATTCCTGTGGTCATGCGCATCCTTAAATCCGGGTCATTAACTTTGATGCACATTTTATTTGACTCTGACATTTCACTCGGTGTGTTCGTCCCGTCTGTGATCCGAGGCTGAGCATTTGTAAACCCTACTTTGTGTTCAGTCTATTTTGCTATCATCGAAAAGGAGCAGAAATGATTTTTTGTTCTTTTCACTCTATTTTCCTAATATAAACATATATCGAATTTGTTCCATAAGCACAAACCTTCTAGAAAGTAGTGCGAACCCTCTGGCCTCGACAGAGGAGCCCAGGTTCAGAGTTCTGCCAAGTCGGCCTACTCAGGCCGGCATTCTCGGCTGGACTTGGCCAAAGAGGTGCGAGCAAAAATCTGCCCACAGACGCATGCCAAGGGCTGTGATCAGTTACATGCGACTGAGCTCAAAATATCGAAGCAGCAAGCAGGAGCCTGGCTACCACATCAGCTTGTCTGAATAAAACTTATGTTTCAGGGGAAGAAGGGGGTTAAAGAAGAGCTCGATGCCTCCCTTCTCCTTGGTCTGGAATTCATTCTCTTTTTAAAAAATATATTTTTTATTATTGATAGTATTACAGATAAGTCCCATTTTTCCTCTTCCCCCCTCCTCCCAGCCCCTCCCCTCCCCCTGCCCTCCCCTCAGGTCTTCACTCTTACTGACTCGGAAAAGAACCATCGGAGAATCATGCCTCTACTTGGAGTCTGTGTGTTTATATGGGCATACTGTATTTCTTTAACAATACTAAAGAGTTGTCTGTGACAGCAAGATTTTTGTGGTTTTGTTATACTGAGATGGAAAAATGTGTGTGCCAATATAATGACATAAATCGCCTACAGAAACTTAGAGGGATTGTTTGAAAACTCAAAGCTTCTGAACCAATTCAGCCCAAGACGTTGCCATGCCAAGTCCCTGGGAATTTGGCTGCTTCCCTCCGGCCTTCTCCCCTGTTCCGAGCCAACTTGAACTTCAACTGTGAGAGTGTGTGGGGGTGACAGACGCCCCTGCATGTGTATCCTAGGAGTTTCTGAGATTCTCTGAAGATAGTCTGAAGGCCACTATATTTTGGGCCACTGAACACTGACATTATGCTCCTCCCAAGTAAACTACTGTGTGTTTCGGGTGGTCTCTGTGTTTATCAGAGGCCTTTAAGAAACCATCACCGCCTGGCTCTGTAGCAGAGGTGCTTATATTAGCAATGTCTACTTAAGCGTTTCGAGGCTAAGAACGCAGAGAATCAAAGAGTTTAAAAAAGAAGAGCTGCTAAGTA